ATTGGTGATATATAATATAGCTGCCTTTGTTAAAGGTTTATTGTGTTTCACACGGCTGTATCAGACTTTAGGTACTCATAACCCTACAGTATACACAATCATCAAGCTATTCCATGTCTCTAGGGTATGTCATATCAGAATCGTCAAGTTAATTACCTATATAAATACTTTACTCCAGTATGTTCAGATATATGACACTCAATGTGGTTATACATGTAGGAAACACGGAGTGACGTAATCTTGGTATATATGACACTTTCCTACATATACACATCAAGATTAGGTCACTGTGACCTATATTTAGGGCCCTGAATCATAGATACAGGTGTCGCATAGTAATCACAATCCTGTCTATCAACAGTTTTGTTTCTGGAGATCAATATTATCTCAGAATTAAAAAAAAAAATCTTTCTCAAATTTGACATTGGTCCTCATTGCAGAATCCAGAATACTATACAATCTATTTAGAATTAAGCATGGTGATATACTGTGATATGTAGATGTGCAATAGGGTTTTTAAAATGATAATGTCATTTCCAAGGTCACTGTTACTAAAAATAGCTAGATCATGGGAGTTACAGCCCTCATCTTGGAATCCAAACGACTAATATGTTTGAAATTGGACATGGTGATACTTTATGATATATATTTGTAGATGTGCAATAGGGGTTAAAAAAAGGTTTTAAGGTCTAGGTCACTATTACTAAAACTAGTCCATAGGGGAGGGGGATACAGTCCAGGACATGAGTAGGCCCTTGCTGATCTGTCAATGTTCTATTTTGAACCTCAATTTAAGGAAAAATAATTCCTCGATCAATTCTTCTATACTTTTTCATATATGATCATCTCTTCCCCTAGCTAAAAAACACTTTCATTGCAAATTTTACAAGAATACGGACCTGCAGGAGAAACAAAAAAACAAGCTTTTGCCACTGTGTAACTTTTTAGTACTTGGCTGTTCCAGTTTTTGAATGCGACCTAGCTTCGGCAATAAACAATGCAAAGACCTCTTATCCTGCCTTCAGCTATAATCTGTAATCCTGTTATACTGTAAGGATTCGCTCCTCATTTCAATCTCAGTACTCCGTTTATATATGTACAACCTTCCAGTACCAGCACTGGCTAGGGCCTACTTACACTGCTAGATTAGTTCTGACTTGGTTTATGGTGACAGTTGTGACCAAATTGACAAAACAAATGCAAAATAAAATCTTACCTAATTACACTGGATGTTATTTATAACTCTCTTTTACCAGAATGTAATTTGTAAGCTGGATCTGGAAAATTTGACTTGTGACCTAGATGCACTCAATGTAGTTTCATGACCTAGTAAAGTAATGCCAAATGTCATCTGTGACCTAGTTCCACTAAATGTCACTTATGCATAATGTCCTTTGTGACCTAGTTACATTGTAGGTTACTTTGATATCGTTTTACACTAAATATGACTTTTGTGATATTAAGTAACAATGAATGTCATTTTGAGATCTTGGTTCACTGAATGTAATGTGAGACTAACACCATTTTCGATCAAGTTAAATCAAATGTCGTTAAACATATCACCATCTGGTTTCCATGAAATGTTGAGTGACCGAGTTACATTAAACGTTACTTGTGACCTAACATGCATTGACCTGTGTGTGTATGAACATATGACCTAATTTCAATGATATGATATTTATAATTTGATCAATATTGATGAATATGCTGCAAAGTTGAGTCACATTGAGCTATGGAAATTGACTTTTAGCTGAAAAGTTGTTTCTCTTCCTCTCTTTGTTGCTCACTAAAAATAAATTTCATTCCCAAAGATTAAATACAATCGTTATTTTCCACTTTTCTCTCTGGTGCTTAGAGGAAAGACCAAGTCAATCTTGAAAATCAATTACGAGATGGTGATGGTCATGTGCGGTGGAGTCCCATGTCCACCGTCGCCACTTGACTACTCGGCCCAGACTTAAGCCTGTCATGGCGAGCCAGGCTCAGTCTCTATTTACGGCTCCAATCCATTTTGTTGTAGCTGTCGATTATCTGGCAAAAAACTGATGTCAGTGGCAGCAATGACTTATTTAACTGTAATCTGTGTGTAAATAGATATGCATGTGAGTGTCATTCCCAAGCCTGACAAATCACCACACCGACTCACATTTACTTAATCCTATACTGGCACTCTTGAGGCCATAGCCCACAGATTCTTATTTTTTCTTTCTGCGAATCAATCACATCCATTTACAGTTATGCAATCTGGACATTTCAGCAAAAGTAATTCATTGTTTTCCTCTTTATGTGTTTCCCAAGAACGACATTTTTATTCTGTACTTAAGCTAATTACAATCCCAGACCAGAGCCGTGTATGATGAAGTTCAGATCAATCCTTTCAGACATACAGGATCATAGACACCCTAGTACAATACAGGGTTCACCTGAAAGGCTTCTTATTTATATTTATCTATAGAAAAAATATTCTACATCTATATGATGGTATTCGACATCATTAACTCTGCTAACCCTTTTTAAACTTGTTATCTTTAGTTTACTGCCCATTTGACTATGTATGACTTTGATAAGTATGACATCGATAAGTATAACATTTATATGTATGACATTGATAAGTATGACATGATAAGTGACACTAATATATATGACATTGATAAGTATGACATTTATATATATGACATTGGTTAGTATGATGATAATAAGTATGACGATAATAAGTTTTACATTGATTAGTATGACGATAATAAGTTTTACATTGATTAGTATGACGATAATAAGTTTTACATTGATTAGTATGACGATAGTTAGTATGACATTGATAAGTATGACGATGATAAGTTTGACATCGATTAGTATAACGATAATTAGTATGACATTGATTAGTATGACATTAATGAGTATGACACTAATATGTATGACATTGATAAGTATGACATTTATATATATGACATTGGTTNGTATGACATGATAAGTGACACTAATATATATGACATTGATAAGTATGACATTAATAAGTATGACACTAATATATATGACATTGATAAGTATGACATTTATATATATGCCATTGGTTAGTATGATGATAATAAGTATGACATTGAATAGTATGATGATAATAAGTATGACATTGAATAGTATGATGATAATAAGTATGACGATAATAGGTTTTACATTGATTAGTATGACGATGGTAAGTTTGACATCGATTAGTATAACGATAATTAGTATGACATTGATACACCAAAGGTAACAAGGAGGGGGTATAGATCCAATCAGACATTAATGTCATACTCATTAATGTCATACTAGACATTAATGAGTATGACATTAATGTCTGATTGGATCTATACTCCCTCCTTGTTACCTTTGGTTTTGTTCATATTTATCTTTATCAATTATATCCTTTTGATGACGTCAGTATGTTGTTATATGGATCTAAACGTTTAAGTGGATCTGACGATTAAATGTCCTAATTTCATCAGATGCAGTTTCAGCATGTCAATATTGCTTCTAAAATTTAGAGCCTTTTAGTTACATATCATAAGCATTGCTGTTTAAAAGCAGAAAAATAAATATATATTTCTGACATGTGATAAGCAGCCCAGCCTAACTTCCAATATATCTAATACTTGACATTCTGTTTACAGCATATGTTACAACGCCAGCACTCTTTGCCCTTGAGTCGAGAGGAAGAGAACCTCGGGTCAGTCAACTTCAGTCTCACATATAATAAAGAGACACACCTCCTCACAGTCAACATAATCCAGGCTGCTGATCTGACCCCTCGTGACAATTGTGGTAACCTTGACCCCTACTGCAAGGTATCTCTTTTACCTTCTCATCGCAGCCAACTTCAGACTAAGGTCCACAACAAAACTGTCAACCCTAAATTTGATGAGGAGTTTATCTTTGATGTGTCGCCTCATAAGCTGCCTTTCTGCTCTCTGGAGATACTGCTGCTGGACTTCGACCAGTTTTCGCGACACGAGATAATCGGTCAGATCAAGCTTCTGCTTGATTGTGTTGATCTACAGGAGCAAGCCGTCCTATGGAAAGGCATCTCGCCAATAGAAAAATCCAAAAGTAAAGATGTATGTACCGTACAACATTATTGTCAGGCCTTGTTCACGGTTAATTATCTGGTGCCCATACAGACAGCAACTCATCGACAATGTTGTACCACAGTTGGGGTTATTTACTTTGGGGTGCCATAGACATTTGCTGTGTGTAATATTTATTTTCACATAAATTAGCATTATTAAGCATCAGTCACCAATTCAAGTATCACACTAACAATTATACATAATATATACACGTGCAAGTTTCGTGAATTAAAATAATGTCCTTGCAAATAAATATGGAAAGGTAAATTTGACAAATAATTGTGCATGAAGGATACTATTAGCTATAGGCATTATCTTGACGTAGATAGTATTCAGACAAATTTGTTTGTTTTTTGTCTTTATTGCTTTGTACAAACATTTTATCATTGGTTTGACTACTACAGTATATGCTACGGGCACTGAAACAAAAAACTCTCGTTTGACCTATGTTCCATAGGGGTATTACAATCTGTCCAACTATAATCTATTTTTTAACCGTGACCTTGAATCAATTACAACAATTAACTTACATGCAGGATAGAGCTATTCTGTGTTTTGAGTGGATCATATATGTTTGGGTGTAGTGTCTATAGACCCTTAAGTTTGACATTAAATGACTACTACATCTTTCAATCAAACACATGTATGAAAGTCTTAATTTGAAATGTTTGTGCTGTGGAAATCATCACTAATGTTGCATTCACAGAGTGAGACTTACTTAAAGATTTACTACATGTACTAGGAAATATACATATATTGCAACAGCATTGACATCAGGACGGAGAAGTCGATCAAAACAAAATCTACTATAGTCACTGCTAATATACTTTCTATGAATGGGTCACTACTTGTATAATAGTTGGGGGGTTTCTGATACTTCATGTAAATTAAGTACTGTTTCCCAAAGAGCCTTGACAGGAGTCACTGTTCAACCATTCTGTTAAAGCCCACTTTTTTTATTTCAGCAGAAGGATTATGGTGACATCATGTTTTCCATGACATTCCTGTCTAGTGCAGAGCGTCTGACAGTTGTGGTCACCAAGGCGAGGAACCTCCACCATCTTGAGGAAGGCAAATTACTGGGTGAGTAATTTATAAGCAATGATGGCATCCTCAATATTCCAGGGGTTACGTTCACTTTCACTCTCTGCACTGCTGGAATGTGTCATTGCAAAATTGAAGGCACACGGCTAGCAATTTGATTTGTCTCGTAGAAAAAAATATTGACCAATCGCTAGGCTGATACCTGGGCCTTTGAAAATTACAGAGCACTGACACCCGACTTTAAAGCCTGTAAATGTTACCATTACATTATAGCGACATTCTTCTGATGTACATCAAAGTATCAAACTAGTCTTCTCATCTCATCCACAAGGAGGCACACACTGAGCCTTCGATTTTGTCATGACATATTCCAGGGGTACAGAAAGTATAAGTGAGCTTAACCCCTGGAGTAATCGAGGATAGCCACAATATTAATGTTAATAGTGAGAAAAATGAGCATGCCACAAAGTTGAAGCCATGAGAGGGTTAAGTATGCCATTGTAACAAAACCATTAGAAGGAAGGGTGATTGTTCCAAAATGTCAGAGCCATGAAAAAGGGGATTAAAATGTTATGTAATTAAATCTTAAATCATATGGCATTCTAAACTATTAATACATCTTTAAAGTATCATAGAAGGTTGAACTTTAAATAACAAGTTGTTTGTATAGAAAATGTTCCTATCCTGGAACAGATCCATTTTGATTTTTTTTAAACATGTATACTTTAGGGTTTACATACGAAATTGACATCATCATTAGAGATGTTTGCCATATTTTACAGATGCTTACGTGAAGGTGTCCCTACTTCACAAGGGTAAACGTGTGAAAAAGAAGAAGACTTCGGTAGTTCACCAGTCACAGAACCCGACATGGAATGAGGCTCTGGTGTTTAGTGTGAGTCGGGAAACGCTGCGCCACCTTTCCATGGAAATGATGGTGTGCCATGAAAACAAGCTCGGAAATGACAATCTTATCGGGCGAATTAGGATCGGAAACGAATCCGAAGGTGATGAGCGTGTTCACTGGAATGATTTGATATCGTTTAGGAGTGCGATGGCTCGCTGGCATCCATTGTCTCCCCTCTGACGTAGGTGTGCGTGGTAGTGACCCTCGAACACCTCATCATACAAAACTTACCAGTGACTACAAAACAACATTTTGTTGAGCTTCTGACATTGGTAGAAGTCAAACATGAAGAGATAGAGGTAAAACAAATGGAAAAATACATCAATGAAATATTAATATGCCCATGTATCACCTCTTGAGAATGCTTTGTACAAACTTTCACTTGAAATGGAATGGGAATTATTTTTACCATCAAAATGAAATAACATTTTGTTTGAATGATAGTTTTACAATTTATATTTTGTATGTGTGAAAAATGTTCTTGACATAGCGCAATAATGTTAAATTTTGGACAGGCTTTGTAGTCCTAGATTTTAGCTCTCCTTGTCTGAAAAGTCATTCAGCTATCCATGTGTTATCTGTCAATATTTTTACATTTCCAAAATCTTAAGAGGCAGTTCCACAAATTAGTCTAAATTAAGGCTGAACCCAGCATTATCATTAGCAGAACAAGATGTGATTACAAATTTGTTCAAATAGCATGCCCAAAAAAAAAAAAAAAAGCAAATGCATTTTGGAATTTTTCACCTGCGGTAAATTTAAATTTCTATTTTAGTAAAAAGTGTTACCCAAGGTCAAATTTTATCATCTAGCCTTGTACAGACATAATGTAAAGTTATTTGCTTTGAAACCATAAATGTTGAAACCATGATTTAGTTGATGATTTTGATAACTAACTCATTCACCCCTGAAATTTCATAATGAACTATTCCAAGCTTAGAATCGGAAAAGTTGAAATGTGTCTTCAGGGATGAATGAGCTAAAGTCATTCTCAGGTGTCAAAGTTAAAGGATCCCTGTACCACTGCCAAAAACTGTAACTTTTGTATTGGGAAATGATTTTTCTGGCATGTTCATAGCGTTGATAAATCATATCCAAAAAAGAAAACCATACTTTACCCGTGTTTTGACAGTGGTGGGACAGGGATCTTAAACATTTATATACACTTAGTTTCAATTAAGTAAAAAAAAAATACATTTCTTGACAGATCAAAGAAAAAAGACAGTTGAGCAATACAGGTCCCATTGGCCTCATAGTCATAAAAAAATCTGCATAATATTGATATCCATGACTGATATTGTGAAGTGTATAGTGTATAATGATCATTTTGATGCAATAATGACTGCAGACCCTAATATCTTCCATAAAGACAAGGTACTTCATGGATACCTAGCATTTAGCTGAGGCATGTATTTGTACCCGTTCTACCTAAGTCAAGACCAGGGCTCGTATTCAAGAAACTGCTCTCATGCTCAACCATGGATTCTGTGCTCAAATCAACTTGCTTGTAACTCACTTAAATCATGTCACACGGTAAAAAAATGTCAAGTGCAACATTTTAAACAATTTTTTGCTTAAAGTTTCTCTAAAATTCTTCCAAATCACAGACAAAATGTGATTTTTTTATTCATTTATCACTGAAACAAGCAATTGGGCTTGAGCACAGAATCTGAGTTTGAGCATAAGAACGGTTTTATGAATATGGACCCAGGTACCGATGTATGTTTTCAAAGTGGTCCCCCTCTTAAAGTAATAAAATGTTTCTTTTCTTTTCACTTGCACCAACCAAAAACCAGTCACTCAAAGTCAAAATTAGGAAAAAAAGGGGTGTTAATGTTGTGATTGAAACATGTGTCAGTGTATTTATAAAACATGGAGTTTGTACCCTTAAACCAAACACATATCGTTGGCTGCTCCTGTCTACGCCAGTCGTTGGACACATGGAGTCGAGACATCATACCTGATTTGTATGGTACTCATGCTTTCCTCATTGATCATTGTGTGTGTGTTGATTTATTGTGTGTGGAGCAGATTGTCTGGAATATCTGGATGTTGTAACCCTAGAATGTGAAGGTATGGACCCTCCTCAAGGTACACAGTGCTATATGAATACAAGAGTACAGTATGGATATCAAGGTGTTGTAGGCCCTATATGTAAAGACCCTCAAATAAAAGGGTACCGTGTGGATATCAAGGTGTTGTAGGCCCTATAGGTAAAGACCCTCAAATACAAAAAATCAGTATGGATATCAAGGTGTTGTAGGCCCTATAGGTAAAGACCCTCAAATACAAAAGTACAGTATGGATATCAAGGTGTTGTGAACCCTGTAATCAAGGTTAAGACCCTCAAATAAAAGGGTACCGTGTGGATATCAAGGTGTTGTAGGCCCTATAGGTAAAGACCCTCAAATACAAAAGTACAGTATGGATATCAAGGTGTTGCAGGCCCTATAGGTAAAGACCCTCAAATACAAGAGTACAGTATGGATATCAAGGTGGTGTAGGCCCTATAGGTAAAGACCCTCAAATACAAGAGTACAGTATGGATATCAAGGTGGTGTAGGCCCTATAGGTAAAGACCCTCAAATACAAAAAATCAGTATGGATATAAAGGTGTTGTAGGCCCTATAGGTAAAGACCCTCAAATACAAAAGTACTGTGTGGATAACAAGGTGTTGTAGGCCCTATAGGTAAAGACCCTCAAATACAAGAGTACATTATTGATATCAAGGTGTTGTATGCCCTATAGGTAAAGACCCTCAAATAAAAGAGTACAGTATGGATATCAAGGTGTTGTAGGCCCTATAGGTAAAGACCCTCAAATACAAGAGTACAGTATGGATATCAAGGTGCTGTAGGCCCTATAGGTAAAGACCCTCAAATACAAGAGTACAGTGTGGATATCAATGTGTTGAAGGCCCTATAGGTAAAGACCCTCAAATACAAGAGTACAGTATAGATATCAAGGTGTTGTATGCCCTATAGGTAAAGACCCTCAAATACAAGAGTACTGTGTGGATAACAAGGTGTTGTGAACCCTGTAATCAAGGTTAAGACCCTCAAATAAAAGGGTACTGTGTGGATATCAAGGGGTTGTGAGCCCCACAAGGAAAGGTTTGGATAATTGTCATAAAAAACAACAATAATAAACAGTAATACATCGCGTGCATTTAGGTAATGGACGTCCCCATTCTTGTCCCGGTAAAAAGTAAAAGACTTTACAGGGACATGAAGCAGATGGATACAGTTTTGGGGTGGCTGATACATGCATGCGCGGGGACAACTTACAAACTTAATATAACTATATAAAATATATACATATATATATATAACACATGTATAAACATAGCTATTGAATGTAAGGTGTACGAATAGTGAAAGACCACCTACGTGTGGACACTTTATTGTTCGGGGGGCTGATCCAGGGCTCCTCAACCCTGGCAGCCTCCAACAATCACTGAATATTCGCATATGCATATGTCAAAGATCTATGAAAGTGAGAATATCAAAATGCTGAGGGATTAAAATTTGTATATAAAAAAAAAGTAAAGACCCTCGTATACTTGAAACAATTTAGGGGTGATGTAACCCCTGTATACAAAGATGTTGAACCTCATATACATGAACTAGGTGTTGCCACCATGGCAGCTGTGTCGGGGTTCTTCTAGCTAAAACCCACAACCTTTTTGTCATCCATAGAAACCGTACCGGAGGGGGACTATAGGTTTGCACTTCATTTGCCAGTCCTTGGGTCATTACATGGATACAGTTGAGATTCCCTCCCTACAACCATATGAACAAATTCATGATACCCTGATTGATTCCTGGGCTCAGCCCCCCCTCCCCCTCCTGGTGACTTTGTCTTTGTTCCTGGTTCATAACATGGAAACAATTGAAATCTCCACACAATTGACCTTGGTGTCCATCCGTTCCTTTTGGGACTAGTACCTGAGGCATTCCAGAAAATAAGCTATCGAGATTGCCATCCTTTAAGAATAAAAACAAATGCTAGGCACATTGAACCTTGAGAATTAAGAATCAATTGCTGTATAAAGGAGGTGTGTGGCTTCCGATTGGGCGCTAAGGAGCAATGCTCTGACGGGGAAATTTAGATGTTTAATCATTAAAAGCTTGCCCCTCTTGACCAGTTGGTTGTATTTCAACCAAACTGCTGTGAAGCATCATTGGGACCAGGAAAATCTACTGTTTCAAAGTGTGCTGCCAAAGTGTGCTGCCATTACTATTGGTACAGAGACCAATAGTAATGAGAATAATTTGCCATAGTTCCATAGAGATACAGGTTCGCTTTGCCTTTTCCTTTTTATTAATTTTACTGTGATGCAGTTTATTGTTTGTTACTTGGATTAGATTTTTATAAATTTACCACTTCTACATTGTATATTACTTCTTTTAGCAGTTTATTTTACTGATTGCATTTGTTTTAATAGTTTAAGCTGAGTATCACCTTAAAATGTATATATCGTTGGAGCTCAGTTGCATTAAATGAGACTTTGAAAATTCATCAAAAATCCTCTGAAAACTGAATATGAAATTTATAGTAAGGAGGATGGAAATTTTAAATTTCTTATGGTACCTTCATATTATATATGATTGCTTGTCACATGTCTAGGAATGTGAGAAGGGAGACAATCCTAACAAGTTCTGTAAACTGCTACTACATGCTTCTTCAGGCGCCCCAGATGAGAAGGGTCCCCCTAGTCAGAGTCCCTTTGTCAGGATCCTCACAATCAGGGTTTAAGTTTGATCCCTCAGTCAGGTTCCCTAGTCATGGACTCTGTCTAAGAATCCTAGTCAGGCTAATCCCTGAGACTTAGAATCCTAGTCAGGTTAATCCCTGAGAATTAGAATCCTAGTCAGGTTAATCCCCGAGACTTCAGTAAGGGTCACCATTGAATTACAGGGTCCCTAGCGGTAAAACGAGTTCACTCAATCAGAGTTCTCCAATCATGATTCCTGTTTCATAATTAAAAAATGGTAATTAGAGGTTCTTATATACCACTTTATCACAACCTAAGTCGTCTCTAAGTCGACTCAAAGTGGTTCACAAATTATTATCTGTGGTTAATTGGGCCTTTGCAACCAGGCAATATCTTTCTCAACTCCCTGGGAAGCATACAGCCGGTGGTACCTTTAAGGCATGCACTCACAGCTAGCATTCAACAATTCTAGCACTGCCCAACCAGGTACTCATTTACAGCTGAGTAGACTGGAACAAGCAGAGTAAAGTGTCTCATTCAAGGATACAACGCAATGCCATGACGGGATTCGAACCAGCAACCTTTCGGCCACGAGTCCCAGCATCCGTACCACTAGACAACCCTGCATCCATTGTTCCCTTAGTGAGGAGATGGTTCTGTGTACCGGGGGGTCTTCTACACCAGCCTAATGTATTAGTTAATCCAGTGGGTACACATATCCAACAAATATCCAAATATCACGATCATCCTAGTAGTACTTGTGACATTTTTCTACCATTCTGTTGTTGTGAATCCATGAATGTATGTGTATAATGCTGAAGAAGGTGGTTGTCTTGCTATTAACACCCGGCCCCCGTGATGTTTCTATTCCACGAGTTATCCAGAACATGCATTCCTTTGACACATCAAGCCTTGTTCGACAAGTGATGTGTCGTGTGTGATATACCTGGTGTGTCTGTTGTTACCAAGTGTAGGCTAGTTTTATACCAACCAACCAACATGTAGACATTGATATAATGACTATGTACTATGTGTAGAGATTAACATGAATTGGTACTGTGTGGTCCTTCCATGTAGACTTCATGTCATTCCTGGGACCAGACTCAAACTATTTGTCAATAAAAATGTCAACACTTATACTTTGGTTATTTTTTTCTTTAAAGCTCTCAAAACATTGCAATAAAATATGGTGACAGGACATTGTGAGAAGCAGTTTGTAACAGGAGAGGAAAAATACACAGCCAGATCAGGGTTCAAACCCGGACCCTCTGAACTCTAGACGAACGCTCTACCAATTAAGCTATCTGGTCACCAACGATCAAGCCATTCCAGTTCTGCTACATTCCTCCCACCTAAGTCTTCGCCCCCGAAGACACAACTATTTAAAACCCAGGTTTGGGTATCCCCTTGCTACGACATATTCCAGGGCATCCTCGATATCCAGGGGTTATAACGCTCACTTTCGCTCTCTGCACCCCTGGAATATGTCATAGCAAAATTGAAGGCACAAAGATAGCTGTTTGATTGGTCTAAGGGGAAAAGAACTGACCAATCGCTACGCTGATACTTAGGGAGAAAGTGAGCGTAACCCCTGGATATCGAGGATGACATTGCTGTAAAAGATGGCTCACAAAACTTTTGTGGCAATTTTTGCATGAAACTCAGCCAAAAAAAAACAAAAAACGCAAAACACGGTCGGTCAGTATACTTTATAAAAATCGGATGATACTTGAAATAATCTTAGATATACCATCTTTTCATGATGTTTTATGCAAATTAAAACTTCTATATTAAAATAAATGACCTAAACATTAATTAAATTATGAAGCTAATTTGAACTGTAAAATATGCAAGGAAGCTTAAGGCCACTGTTGTCCCCCTAGCCGCTGTTCTAACGTTCGTACACGTCCCTTATTTCAAAATATAATTCGCAATAACAGCTAGACATTTGTTACCTCCGTATATAGGACAGATACGTCAACTTCTATCAGTTCAGTCCCCGACTCCCAACCTTCCACTATGGCTCCCTCCCGACCCCAACCCCTTCATACCCTCTACAAATCCAGGATTCGCACCAGACATAACTAGTAATAAGCTGACTGAGTATTTGTATCTTATAAGAAATTAAGATTACAAGACATGAATGTAATTTTCAATGGTAAGGTAATATATTCTTAATTCAGATTTCCAGAAAAGTGAAGGAAACATCCGTCATGCGCGCGCACTTGCACATCAATGATATAGAACGTAACTTGGCAGAACACGTTATAGAGCAATAATACTCCCAACACCCCCACACCCCACACCCCACACCCTGTCGATAACACCCTCCGATGCTCTAGATTGATTTTTTATTGTTATTTTTCTTAATTTGTGAATGAAAAGTTAAAGTTACTAATGTGGAAAAAGAAGTATATCTACATGCATAAACAAATAAAAGTACACACTCTCTTTTACAACACGCATAACATAATGGATCTTGTTGGGTTTTTGTTTCGATCTACGGCACGCGTGTATATAATCTATAATTATCTTATAAAGTATATGTCATCTAAAATATACAAATACATGTCTAACTTAGATACTATTGATATGTTACGATATCGATCTACGGCACACGTGTATATAATCTAATTATCTAATGCAATGTATATATAATCTAAAATATACAAATACATTCCTAACATTTATGCTATAGATATGGTAAGTTATCGATCTTCTGTACTGGGTTTGCGATGCGAGAAGATTATTTAGAGATGAATCGAAACAGCTTCACTGTTCAACTTTTCATTTTATTCCAGGAAACAGGAAGTAAACAACAAAACATAGAAACAAGATACGGAGACAGAATGCCATAGTACACAAAACGCTCAATTCTGGACATTAAATTTTGTCCAAAAAATCCCCATTGTATTGGCAATTATGAAACAAGAGGTAATTATTATATGAAGTATTGTGTATTACTGTGAATGCTGTGAGATTAATTTTTTTTTAATCATAATTTGCTAGGATGCCAATCTATGTATTTCTTGTTTAATTGTTGTCTGGGAAAAAATGTTTATCAGTTTAGTTAAATCTGCAGGTGAATTTACCAGAATTATCTCCCCTCTCTGAAATTCTATATGTAGATACACTATATATGCTGTTGATCTGTCAGTACTGCCTAACTTACACTCAAACCAATAAGAGTATGTGGTACCTTAAACATTTTCAGGTGACTGACTAAGCATCCACAAGTATTGAATGAATGTCATCAGGATATGAACCCTAATTCAATGTAATCGGATCCTACACTACAAGACAGAATAAAATTTGGTTTGAGTGGCAAAGTTTAAGCTGATTAATAGTAAGACAACATTACCTGTAAAAAATGAACTATTTCCATAAAAATCCATGTCCGATTCCTTTCAGCCAGGTAGGCCTTGGTATACAATTTATCAAGTTATAACAATTTACAGCCAAAATGGAGGAATATAAGCCTTTCAGAGAGAAATCATACAAAGTGCTTCTGGGAGCGGGGAGGTTTGGTTTTACGTCCTATTAACGTGCCAGGTTTTGATGATGGAGGAAAGCCTGGAGTTCCCGGAGAAAAACCATCGACCAACGGCAAGTACCTGGCGACTGCCCTACGTAGGTCTCGAACCAGCGACCCTACCCATTGATGGAGGGCTAGTGGTAGCAGAATGTCGGACTTAGATTTCCAGTTTTATTTCTAGAAACAAATATGGAATAGAAATTGTGGAGAGAATACATTTTATAATTCAGAGTACATTGTAAATACAGGAAATGATTGCAGACAGAATGCAGAGACATAAACATATTGCCAGCCTTTTGAAATTTCCATAGGGGAGATTCCATGTGCTCAAATTTATGTGTATGGCCCCTAGAGACAAAAATAACCCTTTTAAATTATATCTTTTGAGTTGTTCTTTCAGATGAAATTATTAAATCTTAGAATACAGGAAAAGTTTAGCAAATTCACTGGTTGGTCATGCTAACGTTAAAGGTCCAAAACCGGGTAGTCTTCTTCCTGAATAAGGAGAGTTGGCAAGTATGCATAAGGAAACATGGGTAAACGTCATTAGGCCATTTGGATGTGCATGGGTGTATGTATGGAAATAATTACAAAATAGTTTTAACACAGCAACATATGTTTATTCTTCATGTAACAGTTCTATACACAAAAACCATTGTGTACAGCTATATAAATATAGGTACAATGTACATATAAAATAATGTGTTGTGTGAATATAAAAACAAAACAAAAATCAATCACAGACATTATATAAACTCATAAGAAAACTTCACAAACAGCTGTAGAAAAATAGATTACTTTTTTCATTAAAGATGATAGTAATAACAGAATTTTAATGTTAAAAATGATACTTGATAATGATATGTGGAATAAATAAAGGAGATATATGGATGACATGAAATAAACATTACCTCTATCAGATAACAGTTGTAGGTGAATTTTCAGATCTACAATATGCAATGATTTTATTTCATTATTTCCCTTACTATTTTTTTTTCAGTATCATTAATTATAGCACAAACACTAATACAAATAAGCAAAGTGGAATTTTTACCTGGGACATGCTGCAAAACCTGTCTTATATGACACCTATCCTCGATATCCAGGGGCTACGCTCACTTTCGCTCTCTACACCCCTGGAATATGGCATAGCGAAATTGAAGGCACCAGCTAGCTGTTTGATTGGTGTCAGGTAAAAAAAAATGACCAATCACTAGGCTGATACTTGTCCTTTGAAGATTACAAAGGAGCGACGCCCGACTTCAAAGCCTGTCATTGTTTACCGTTACGCGACCGCGAGATTCCGTTGATGTACATCAAAGGACCAAACAAATCTTCTCGTCTCATCCACAAGGTGCTGCACACTGGGCCTTCAATTTTGCTATGACATATTCTAGGGGTGTAGAGAGCGAAAGTAAGCGTAACCCCTGGATATCGAGGTTGAATGACACCCTGTTGGACGTATTTATCTAATTATTAACAGGATGTCAGAATACACAGGTATTATTTTACGAAATTTTCATTAGAAAGAGGATAACATCTTGATGTCAGATTGGACAAGATGTTAGAATATGCAATGGTCAGATTAAACAGGTTTTATTGTATAACATGCCTATAACCCAATAGCTACCTGTATAGACTGTATGATAAAACATACTCTGTTTTACTATAACCTTTGCTGTTGAGAAGACTTAAGGGTCCCCCTACCAATGTCAAAAATTGAAAATATGCCATTGAAAATGTTTTTTCCGGCATGACTATAGATTTGATAAATCATTTTTGAAAAGAAACGTATACCTTGCGGGACTTTTATGAAAGAACAAAATATAATCAACAAACTTCTCATGAGTGTAAAATATTCTGTGGGGGCCAGACTGGAATTTGAACCCTGGACTTGAGAATGTTATAGACACCACAGTGCAGTGGGACAGGGATCCTTAAGTCTTAAAAGCATGGGTATCTAACCGTTTCAAAGAAGAAAGTCATCACAAAATATCTCTAACTTGATGTAGTATTGAAATATCAAACTAAACCATCTACCATATCACAACCATCACCCTGCATAGAGAGGGTAAAGCATGGATGGAGGATCTACTAAAGAAATCAATAAAGCATTCACTTTTAGACACATTATATTAGGTATGTATCAATATGTATCAAAATCAATAAAACATTCATTTTAGCAAGATTATACTAGGTATGTAATCAATACTGAATATATATATAATTTAATAGAATTCATTTAATAATATACACAACTGTACTTGATACTAATCATGGACGGAAAAATGTTGTTTTTTTTTTATAAAAGTCACCAAAAATCATACAAGGTAAATCAAATGATATTTATTGAAGTAAAGATTTTAAAAAAAAAATCAGTAATGCAAGGAAATCTTATTGGTCTGAGGCATGGAATTAGTTTTACAAAAATACATTTTACAATCAACATTTTCATCTTCTTGAGTAGATATCACAAAAAGGGAAAATTTAATAATACCTTAATCATAAAGAGGAATGCTTTCACATAATAAATGAAGCATTTTAAAATAACAAATATACCAATGATAACATATACTATATAACTTACATCATATTACACATGAACACAACAGATTAGATTATTACATATATATTAAATACTTTGTTACAAACACTGGTACATACAAAATACCCTTAAATTACATTGTATACAGTGTAAAAATAACACCCACAGCAATGATTCATAATGCTACTCACTTTGATACAAACCTACCACAGTACTGTGAAATCAGATATTTTCATGGGGCCTAAATGTCGTGGTTTCCAAATAAAACATCATTTTATGGGTATGTATAAATTTGTGGATTACAAATACCCACTCAAACAGAGAATTACTTAACATCAAACTTGTAATTACTATGTAGACCTATGAATTTGTGGATGAAAATTACCCACAAAATCAACAAAATGAAAAACCCCACGAAAATTAAAAATTTCACAGTAACTGTAAGGCTAGATACGATTTTTTTCAAAATAATATATCAAACCTACAGTTTCGACTTTTAATTATAATAGATATGCTCCGATAGACCTGTATCATACACTTCATGCTAATCAGGGTAATTTGAATTTAATCAGTGTTAAAGGGGCTAAGGTCAAATATAGCACCCTTAAAATCACTCTGATACCAAACTATATAACTCTTATAATAAAATTCCTAACGAAAGTTTATGTAGTTGATAATGACAAGTCTCCATTTTATACGAATTTTATAAAACAAGCTTCAGTAATTTTCATAAAAGTCTGATTAAATTGAAACCTAGTTTGAGATTATTTTTATCATATTCTCAACCAGCTCATGCATGATCATATTGAGTAAATCAGTAATGATGTAAAATAAAATGAAAGCACAAACAGTCATGCCCTTATCCTATGTATTTGTGATGTCACTCTTCCAAAATTCATTTAAATGTATATTATTACAATTTATACAATCCCGAGTTTATGATAAAGTGACATTAAAAATGTAAACTACATGCAGGAATGTACAAACAGTGTATACCCAATAGCTCACGTAAAAGATCATCAGATTCTGAAAAAAAAAAATGTTTACATACATTTACATGTACCAGTATTTACTATTAACAATAGACAACTCATTAATTTCAATGGACTCACTTCAAAATCATTTCTAAATTTTGGCAAACCTAGTAACAAATACTTTTTTCTGTGTTGACAGCAACAGAGCAAATGTCCATTTTGCAATCCTTGTCCCCAACGCTAACTCTTCTTCAGCTCAAATCGACAAATAGGACAGGAGGCGTTTCGCTAGAAAGAAACAAGCATGGCATTGAATCTGATTGTGGTGTTGACAGCATTATCGTAAATTGCTCATGTTAGCAAACACTAAGATAAATCATAAGGTCGAATCTCATTCAACCAGTCACCTTCATTTCATTCCCAGCTAAAAAGAAGCTTGATTTTGATATGAAACATCAGGAATATTTGAACACCTCAGCAAGGAAAAGAAAATTGTGTCCTCAAAAAAATATTCAAAGGAGACAACAAGATCAGTGTAAGCTATCAGGTTCAACAACTTAATAGTTACAAGTAAGTTATCAGGATCAACAACTTAACAGTTACAAGTAAGCTATCAGGATCAACAACAACATAACAGTTACAAAGCTATCAGGATCAACAACTTAACAGTTACAAAGCTATCAGGATCAACAACTTAACAGTTACAAGTAAGCTATCAGGATCAACAACTTAACAGTTACAAGTAAGCTATCAGGATCAACAACTTAACAGTTACAAGTAAGCTATCAGGATCAACAACTTAACAGTTACAAGTAAGCTATCAGGATCAACAACTTAACAGTTACAAGTAAGCTATCAGGATCAACAACTTAACAGTTACACAGCTATCAGGATCAACAACTTAACAGTTACGAAGCTATCAGGATCATCAGATTAACAGTTACAAAGAAAACTTTGATTTTTGTAAGACATGAATGCCCACAATCCCATGCAAATTAGTGTCCTTTTTTGACAACTTTCTATGAATAGTAATAATGACCTGGACCTTCACATTTGGTTTCTGAAATACAGGGGTTAGAAAATGGACTTACAGTATCAGGCATTTCATAAACCTAAACAAAGCAATAACTCCAAATCAGACAAGCCTATCAGAAACCATGATTTTGCATACAAGACAAAAAAACATATTTATAGTTCTATCATAATTCTGGCGTAAGAAGAAGAAGGGGTCAAAAATATATTTACCCGGTATAACACATTTCACAAACCTTAACTATATATATCATAGACAGAGCCTCAAATCAAACAATCAAATATTGTCATAAGCTTGTAGTTAACAGACAAATGCCCAAAATATAGTAAGCATTTTTATAAACCTTGAGTTACCATAAACTTGGGCTTCAAAACAAGTCTCCCACAAACTTGTGTGTAGTGTAAGCAAAAAGACAATGCCTTACAGAAGTTCAAGTCAAATTTCTGTAAACCTAGAGTCAGCATAAACAGCTAGGGCTTTCAAAGTCAGTCAGTCACAAAACTTGTATTAGCAGACAAGGCCTAAAAAGCCTCTCAAAAATCTAAAATTGGGTGAGAACCTACCTTTAGCCACTCTTTGACACACTTTTCGTGGAACTCATGTTTGCCCTGACAGGGAAGTGTACAGACACTGTCGCCTGCTGTGTAGGCGTTGAGGCACACCCGACACTCCCCCAGGTGTTCCCCGTCCCTAGAAACCTTTGTTCGTTTGTTGTACTGCTTACAAGGCAGGGACCTCAGGTCCTTGTCCCCTAGCCCACGATTCTTCACCTCCCCAAGTTCTTCAGCTAGCTGCCAGAGGGACTACAACACAACATAAACCATGATAAATGTATGTTGATGAACAGCAGATAAATTACCATTTAAACAGAACCTTTATTCTTGCACCTCAGACGGATATCCCACGCGATACCCTGTTCTAGATTTTTCTATCTTGTCCGATCTGTCTGGCACCTTCACGTGACATTTCACAAAATTTTCACAAAGCAATATCATATATTTATACCTGTACTAATGCAAATTTTTGAAAGGTACTTTATTTATGTTGATACTTTTCATGTATAAATTGGACATATGTTTATAAATGTATTGTTGAAAAAATATTCATTATGACACACTTCTTATGTAAAATATTTGAAACTTTTAAAGAGGAAATATCAACCAATAAAACATTGGCTTAAAACATTACAGTCGTTAGACAAAATGAAAGTTATCAATGCAAAAGTACCATTGCTTTTAATCTCAAAAGAGTTTTGTAAACACAATTCTATTAGAAATATTTACCTCATAATCATTGGCGTCTATGTCATCCGGAACCATCATGTGTGGTGCCCTCCCCATTAGGAGCAGCAGCAGGAGCATGGGGTCCCTCTGCCATACAAAACAAGGCTTTTATTTTTCAATGCTTTAAAGAAAGTGTACTTTCATACATAATCAGTGTAGGAACCAAATTCTCTGTTTGATTTAGAGAAAAATCCAGATTGAATAGGGTGAATATAGCAAAATTAAATCCCTCACGAACAGTACCAGCTATATATCATATTCTAGGCATCTCAGAGTATAACTGTTCCTGAAAGAAGTAAGGTAGCATACTGCCTTAAGTGATTTTCTCTTACTCTGGCTAACAATGTCCTAACTTCCACTTACATAAAAGATATCATGATCAATTTTGTATATATTTTTTTTTAATTATTACTCTGATGTTAATCTTTCAATAATTAAAATTACAAATAAAATGAACCTGTGTGAGGCAGTATGTAGAAATTATCACAATTTAAGTCCATGTTGTCTTGGAGTTGAAGAGTTCCTGTTGTCCTATATTAATACTTTACCTACCATTATGTGTACATATCTGTTATCTGGATCATCAGATGCACTCCTGTCTAGTATAAGTATTTCTGGCTCCATCTCTCCATCTGGAAGCTCTGGCTGATTGATGGCAAGGGATAAAGGAGGAGCTAGAAACGAAAACATACACCTTTAAGTATGTAAAATAACATGTAAATAAACAGAAATCTGGGATTGGTATATGTAAGACGCAGAAAAAAACAATGCCAATAATATGTAAATGAATTTGATCCTGGTGTGACCTCCATAATCATGATGATAAATTCAATGATATATCATAATTTATTGGATTTGTTAATTTAGTCATGCAAAGCTCACTAAAATTAATATACATTGTATTGTTCAATATAACTTCCTTTCTGACTTGTGTTTCCCACTGACTGACATGTATTCCCCACTGGCTCACCTGTATTCCCCACTGGCTCACCTGTATTCCCTGCTGGCTCATCTGTATTCCCCACTGGCTCACCTGTATTCCCCACTGACTGACCTGTGTTTCCCACTGACTGACCTGTGTTTCCCACAGACTGACCTGTGTTTCCCACTGACTTACCTATATTCCCCACAGACTGACCTGTGTTTCCCACTGACTTACCTGTATTCCCCACAGACTGACCTGTGTTTCCCACTGACTGTCCTGTATTCCCCACCGACTCACCTGTGTTTCCCACTGACTGACCTGTATTTCCCACTGACTCACCTGTGTTTCCCACTGACTGACCTGTGTTTCCCGCTGACTTACCTGTATTCCCCACAGACTGACCTGTGGTTCCCACTGACTTACCTGTGTTTCCCACTGACTGACCTGTATTCACCACTGACTCACCTGTGTTTCCCACTGACTGACCTGTATTCACCACTGACTCACCTGTGTTTCCCACTGACTCATCTGTGTTTCCCACTGACTCATCTGTATTTCCCACTGGCTCACCTGTATTCCCCACTGGCTCATCTGTATTTCCCACTGACTCATCTGTATTCCCCACTGGCTCATCTCTATTCCCCACTGACTCATCTGTATTCCCCACTGGCTCATCTGTATTCCCCACTGACTCACCTGTATTTCCCACTGACTGACCTGTATTCCCCACTGACTGACCTGTATTCCCCACTGACTGACCTGTATTCCCCACTGACTTACCTGTGTTTCCCACTGACTTACCTGTGTTTCCCACAGACTAACCTGTGTTTCCCCGACCTCTGACCTGTGGTCCCCACTGACTCACCTGGATTCCCCACTCACTGACCTGTGTTTCCCACTGACTTACCTATATTCCCCACAGACTGACCTGTGTTTCCCACTGACTGTCCTGTATTCCCCACCGACTCACCTGTGTTTCCCACTGACTGACCTGTGTTGCCCACTGACTTACCTGTGTTTCCCCCGGCCTAACCTGTGTTTCCCCGACCTCTGACCTGTGCTCCCCACTGACTCACCTGTATTCCCCACTGACTGACCTGGGTTTCCCAATGACTGACCTGTGTTTCCCACTGACTGACATGTGTTTCCCACGGACTGGCCTGGATTCGCCACTAACTGACCTGTGTTTCCCACTGACTGACCTGTATTTCCCACTGACTGACCTGTGTTTCCCACTGACTGAGCGGTGTTTCCCACTGACTGACCTGTTTTCCCCACTGACTGACCTGTGTTTCCCACGGACTAACCTGTGTTTCCCCGACCTCTGACCTGTGGTCCCCACTGACTCACCTGGATTCCCCACTCACTGACCTGTGTTTCCCACTGACTTACCTGGATTCCCCACTGACTGACCTGTGTTTCCCAATGACTGACCGGTGTTTCCCACTGACTGACTTGGATTCCCCACTGACTGACCTGTGTTTCCCAATGACTGACCTGTGTTTCCCACTGACTGACATGTGTTTCCCACGGACTGGCCTGGATTCGCCACTAACTGACCTGTGTTTCCCACTGACTGACCTGTTTTCCCCACTGACTCACCTGTGTTTCCCACTGGCTCACCTGTATTCCCCACTGACTGACCTGGGTTTCCCAATGACTGACCTGTGTTTCCCACTGACTGACCTGTATTTCCCACTGACTGACCTGTGTTTCCCACAGACTGACCTGTGTTTCCCACTGACTTACCTGTGTTTCCCACTGACTAACCTGTGTTTCCCCGACCTCTGACCTGTGTTCCCCACTGACTCACCTGTATTCCCCACTCACTGACCTGTGTTTCCCACTGACTTACCTGTGTGTCCCACTCACTGACCTGTTTCCCTGACCACTGACCTGTGTTTCCCCGACTACTGACCTGTGTTTCCCACTCCCTGACCTGTGTTTCACACTCACTGACCTGATGTTCCCCTTTCACTGACCTGTAGGGTCCATGGTCCTTGGTATAGACCTTCTATTCCCAGTGATCCTGGTTTCTCCCGACTCATTATCTGCACTGGTCCGCCTCCCTCTCACAGCTGCTGTGGCACCTCTACTTGTCATTTGACCTTGTCGACCCCTATTTGACCCACGTGTTGTGCCCCTTCCCCTTGGTACTACTGCCGCTGCTGGCCTTTCAATCACTTGTGTCTCCATGGGACGCATTCCATGTAAGCCTCTGTTGGACCTTGTGGTGCCCCGTTTCCTTGCCCTGGTTGCTGCCCCTGATCGCGGTGATGTCGTTGTCATAGATCCCCGTCTATCTGTCCCACTCGCCGCCGCAGTGGTGCTAGCAGTACCAGCTGTGGATGCTGTTGCAGCTGATACAACAGAATCTGAATCACTGTTGTCATTCTCCTCCAATTCATTTTCATTTTCACTATCCTGATAAACACAACAAAACACCAGTCAAGAGACAAACAAGAGGAAATTAAACAATACATTGTTGTATGAGCGATTCACTGTTTATCTAACCAATCATTATGTTATATATTTATTTAATGTTTCATGCTTTTTTGGTACGATAATTCACAAAACCTATGTACCCTAGTAAACAAAGTTTAACAATTTTATATTTAGGCTGCAGTCCATAAATAAAAAGTGAACATACTTTTAACAACCACTGAATGTGGTGAAACCATCAGTAAGATGCCCTTCGTCAAACTTGGTGAGTGTTGAAAATTTAGAGTCACACAGCTATTTCATGTTAAAAACTATCATTTAATAGATTTCATAAAAAGTGGTCACTAAATTTGGTCAAATGTGGTCGTCCAGCATAATCTTTGGGGTCAATAATATGTTTTTTCCAGTCGAGTTGACAGATTGCTCAAATTACATAGAGGAATGAAAAGTGGTTGCATAAAACAGAGGGTCATTTAATACAGGTGGTCGCTGGAGCAGATTCCGAAATATATTTTTGTCTAAATCTGCTTGAATAAATATTTTCAAGTTATTGGAATTTCTTGTTGATCTTACAAATTAATTAATGCAAAATATATCAGATCTACAGAAAGTTGATTTAATAATGCATATGACTGTGATCAATGTTTACCTCCCCCATGTTGTTCCATCTGGAGCTGACCAGGGAGCTGAAGAGTTGTGTGATGGGGGTCATGGCTCGCATGGCCGGACGATTACCCATCGATTCCCGTATTTTTCTTCTCTCTTCCATATTCAATTCGTCTTGGAGTTGCCTTGCAAATTCTTCATCTGATGTCAAAAATGAGGATTCCTCTTCATTCTGCAACATGCGTGCATATGCCTCATCCTTTGACACGCTGTATGGTCGCTCCCTCTTACCAGTCTTGGGGCGAGCAACAGGCTCTTCACCATCCATCTTTCTGAGCCACAGTGTTTTATTTCTTTAGCATCCTGGGAGATCTGTATAAAAATTTAAAAAAAATTACAACAGCAGTGTTGACTTCCTCAGTGTCTTTCCTAGGCCTACTGATCTTTCAATTTTATTTTATTTCACATGCATGTAATTTCACCTGTACAAATATACATTAGGTGGTTGAGTGGTGCAGTGCACAGTGCACTCGCCTTTCACCAAGGTGGCCAGGGTTCGATTCTCTGATCGGACATGATTTATTTATTTATTGGGTTATCTGCCCGACAACATGGGTTTTCTCCAGGTATTCCAGTTTCCTCCAACATTTAGACTCTCAACACACTAACATCTGGGCCATCAAGAGTAAATAGATGCAGGTTTGATCCCACGCATTGTAAACAACTTGAGCCAGACCTTTAGCTATGATAAAAGGCACAAAAAAAACTTATACTGTATTTTTCCAGTGATAAGCCCATGTCTGGTAATAAGCCCATCACCACCACTTTCCATGTATATGTATATGTGTACGTGTGTTGTGGGTTATTTTTATCTGTACCAGAAGATCAACTCAGAAAGACAGCTCAAACAATATGATAACTGTAGTGACCACTGGGAACAAACCCCAAACAGTACAGCTGTGGACATGTCACTGTCAATCATATTCATCTGCTGGATAATCTAACTACTTGGTAGTGAAGCGGACGTAAAACTATCAATCAATCAATGTCAATCATATAACATTCTGAATTAAAAACTTAAAATTGAACTGGCCAGACTCTACTATGTATGTCATATCATATGTAGCAGAACTGGACTGGGTCAATCACACGGTAGCTCAATTGGTAGAGCATCCGTCTAGAGTTTGGAGGGTCCCAGGTTTGAACCCAAGTCTGGCCGTTACGTTTTCTCTTTCTCCTGTTACAAAATTGGCGAGCTTGCCAACCACTGTTTCAAGCATTGGGAGTACCCTTGTTGGATACCCGAACTTGGGTTGTAAATAGTTGTGTCTTCGGGGGAAAAGACTCATAGAAAAAGGAGGGAGGAATGTAGCGGAACTGGAGTGGGTCGATCATCAGCGACCACCTATATTTCAAAGGGTCCCGGGTTCGAACCCCAGCCTGGCCGCTACATTTTCCCTTTCTCCTGTTACATAAACATTGTCAATTATGTACTATTAATATGTGTTGTATTATTTTTGAGTCCGATGAAGCCCCTGATCACCAACATTCAAAACTTAACCAAGCTCAGAATCACTCAGATAGAGAAGTGATTAAAATTGTCTGTAATCATGGTAAAAACCTTACATGCATACAATTTACCTAACGCCTTATATACAGGTCCAATATACTCTGCCGATTGAGCTACAAATGTAAATAGCTGTAAAGACCTATAATAGCTCTATTGACCTATCTGAAATAGGTCTTTTGAGCCTAATTTTCATGTGATTTTCTTTTTTAACAAAAAACGAAACAAAGTCACTATTAAAAAAAGATTTTATCATTAGGTTGATAACAAAAGACATTAAATATAATTATTGTTATTAAAGAATAATGATGATAAAAAATCGGAAAATTACCATAAACCTTATTGTTTTATGCGACTTTGCTTTAATTTAATGAAAATTGAAATATGAGAATATATAGGTGAATATAGCTATATAGCTATGTAGCTCAATCGGCAGCGTGTACTGGACCTGATATACACATGTAAATATGTATACGCATTTTTGTAAGTATTGTGGGAATATTAGATTTGGAAGGTAATAAAAAGGTAATAACAGTAATAAGGTAAGCTGCTTATTGTTGTGACCAATAACACGGACATACACTTTGCCCCCAAAAAACGGATCCCAGATCTGAACAGTTGACACAGTTCTCAGTATCGAAATGTCAAACAGTCAAACCTCGATAGCGTCATTAGAAACGACGATTATACAGTTGATTTGTCCAATCAATGAAATGACATGAACTTCCAAACTGTCAGAATAACAGAAAAAATACTGATGAAATGTCGAAATACAACCAAGCACGAGTTTAAGTATATAAGACGGGAAATCTTACCACTTTTTGCAGAATGACTTCTATGGGTAGCCATTTTGAACTAAGGGGCGGTTACTCTAATTAGCAAAAGGTCCATGAGACCTGACTACACCCGAACTTTCCCACACATTGCACAGCGAAAGTGAGCGTAAGTCCTGGAGTATCGAGGATGCTTCTCACATTGATAGAACGAAATTCTTTTTAAAATAATACCATAGCTGTATTGTACACCTGATATATAAAATAAATAAATGTTTAACATAATGGTCAACAATTGTTGATTTCACACTTTGAAAGTATAATACATAATCAAATAAAATAAATATTTCTCAAACTGTGCGATTTTTTTTTTATCAAAAATGGGACGAATAACGAAGTCGGGAAAAATTATTGAAAAAAGATATTTATCAACATAGAATCTAATCGGAATGTAACATAACATGTAAGACATATTGCATGTCATTGTATACGTCTCTAGTATAACATAAAGTAAAGAACCTCGATCATGTGTGTATTTAATAGGAACAAACCTGGATACATTAAGTGTAAAAAGGATCGAACCTGGGAAGAAATGGATTCTACTAGTATAAAAGTGGGGGTTTTTTTCCTCGACAGACGACAGATATCTAGCTGGTTCTCTTTTCTATTTTTGTCATATCATAATGCTAGTATATCAAACAGAAGCGTACACACTTATTCAAGCTACAAATCGGTACATATAACTTAAGTATTGATTGGTTGGTTTACATTGAAAAGATGAGTTGCAGTAGGAAAGAAACAAATGCAAAACCATCTTTCATATTGGTATTATTGATATGCATTTTGAGGACGATGTAAAACTCCTGGGAGTTACCACATAGTTCCTTTTTAAATGTTGATAAACAATATGCTTTAAAGCATATGTAAGGCAGATTATAAACACATGAAAATACGTCCCGAAAATACGATATTCAACAAATCATAATTCTCGTTGTTTCGTCTTTTCGACCCCCCCC